CGCATTCAACTGCCTTTTAATCTTATGCCATCCAGAAAGTTCACAGTGTTTTTCAGTAGTTACAGTGAGCAAAGCTGCACCACTTGGTGTTTAGCTTGCTAATAACTACCACTGCGATCACCTTACGTCCTCGCTTTTTCGTTTATTTCGGAGAATTTTCATTCCGCTTCTGTGGCACTTCAGTTCTTTAACAACAAGCCCGCCTTCGCTGTTTTATAATGGTTCACTAAACAACAGGGTGTGTTTTAGTAGTTGGTCGTGTTGAGGGTATCAAATACCCTGATGGCAGAAATGTAGGAACTAATGGACTTCAACTACACTGCAGCAATTCTTAGCCTTAAATAGTCAACTCAGTCTGCAGCTTTTCCCTCATATAGCTGTATAAAACTCCTCCGGGATTTGCTCTCTTTAGAGGTGGAGGCACTCGGAAGTAGCTTGAGTGGTAGCACGTATCAAAAGCCCCGTTGGCAAGGACGTTGATGATTCTGTCTTTTGAGAATTGCGTAGAAGCAGGGTGGTTGTTTTTCCCCGGCGTATGACCGGTTCTTTGTGGCTCGAAAATCAGTATCATAAAAATTCATCCCTTTCGGCACACGCTACTTCAAGTCGCTCCAGTTTTGCCATCTGGAATGAGTGGCTGCATAAAGTTCGGGAATCAGCCGGTTTCTGATTTTTGCTCTTGCCGAAATTTAAGTACATACCGGTGTTATTCAGTGTAGCATCGAAAAAAGTGAACGAATCATGGCGGGATTGGTTGTCCCAGTCGAATTCTTGACCGTCCGCACCATATTGGCGCTACTTCCCACTGTGCTATGCCCGGCAGCTGTTGTATGCATAAGTATGAAGAAATGTTGATGGGAAATATTTATTGAAATAAGTGTTATCAACGACTAATTTTATAGTAAAAGAGGAGTTACAAATAGTTATTCGCAGACCGTGCATGACTCAGTGGCAGGTAGCCTTGCTGTAGTGGTAAAGGTCGAAGGTCCGATTCTGCCAGTAGCTCAGTCAGTTCCTCTGCTCTTCATTCATTCGTTTCGATGGTAAAATTGGTATTGGCTCATGCCATTGAACAAAACTCGCTATGTTCTGAGCAATCCCTAGAAGGGTAAGCCATCAACAGCCTTGCCAGTTAGTGGTTGCTTTGACAAGTGTCGTCGTTTGAGCTGCCAGTGAGTAAGGAAAGAGGTTTGACTTTGTCTTGGTTAGCGGATCAACAAAAGATGTAAATCCACATCACGTAGCAGCAAAGAAGTGATTCGTATTTGCTGTATTGCAGCCGCTGGTGGCGCCAGTGCGAAGGACGCCGTGTAACGGACTGGTGACGCTTTTCTTCACTGACAAATATGTCTTCAGTAACCATTATCTGTGCAATCGTCTTTCCATCGATGGCATGGATTTCATATGCACTGAGCAGTATTACATGTATTGGAAAGCGAGTAAGTGCAGTTTTCCGTTCCATTTTTCTGCTCCTTTCGTCTGCTTTATAAAGTTGTGATATTGTACGGCAGCAGAAGATATTCATTTTTTGCTCTGATTGCCTCAAAACCGTTTTTCTGAGATTTTGCCTTGCTGTATGCATTATGTTCGAAATTTTTTTCAGCTGAGCAGCGAGGAAAGCTAGAAAGGTCCAATTTTAAGAGTACTTTTCTTGCTCATGTGCCACTCCGCAAGTTTAAGAGCGAGCATAAAGCGAAATCTTTTATAGGACATCTCACCGATTTGTTATTTATTTTAGGACTTTTTAATGACAGCGCTACAGCAATGGCAATATTGGCAAGCCGTGATCCGAAGCAAATGAAAATGCTAGGAACAAAAGTGAAAAATTTCAGTCAGCTAATCTGGAACAAGTATTCCATGCAGGTCATGGCTATTGCCAATCAAAGAAAGGTTCGCACTTCGTATTTGCGTCTAACGTAGTCAACTTACATTTGCATAGACTTCTGTGGCCTGTTTGAGCTTTAATCACCATTTACAGTGTTTTATTCCGAGTGATTCTGCTTCAAATTAACGATTTGATAAGCCTTACTCATCCTTTATTTCTTGGTCATAGTAGTTGTGCGAGACATCAAACATCTGCTCCATTTTTAGTAATTTTTCTTTCTGTGGTTTTGAGTAGCTGGAAGACCATTGCGAACAGATGCAGGATGTGGAAGAAATACTTAATAGTAACG